GGAGGGAGGGAGGGAGGAAGGTAGGTAAATGGATTTAAAATGTAGATAAACAGCAAAGGAAATGTAGGTGTCCTAAAAGCCATAAGCTTTCCTAGGGACCTGGGTGACTTTTCTCTAATAGTTCTTAGTTTGTGCTTGGACACATCCTGGTCATGGTTAATCTTTAGATATGCTCAATCCACAAATTTAACCAGGTAATAAAAGAAATAGAGATGGCTTCCACCAGGGTGAGCCCTGGAACACTTGACTACCTAACAATAGTTTTCAAGCATGGAAATCACGGGTGGGGAAGAGCGAGACCTCTGCTGCCTTTTACCAACTCTCTTACGGGTCATTTTCATGGCAACGGTTCAACAATGCTTGAGAGACTCCGAGTTCCAATGCAGACAGTGGTTCTCTGGTCCTTACAGGATTCCTCCCAGCTTTTACTGAGTCAAAAGTTCCATTCTCTTTTTAGCAGCAGGAAGGGAAAAAAAAATATCACAGTGACTCAAAACAAAGCAATTTAACTGTGCTTCATTAGTGGCGTGTTTTGAGCCCACAGCACTGAAGATATCTGGGCTGTTCCACATCCAGAACTGTCATCAGGGCTGATCTTGGCCTTGTCATTTTGGTTTCAGAATCACCTTGCGGTGACAAATGACACATTACTTTGAGTCCTAATTTTAGATTAAGGAATAACCACAAACTCACTAAATTAAAAAGAAGTACCCTATTGGTTTGGGTGAGGAGTTAAAATTTCTCAGCTAGGTAGGTGGTGGGATAAAGGTTAGGCTAAAATGAAAATTATCAACATCAACTCATAAAAAGCATGGGTGTGTGTATTATTATTATCATCTTATAATTCTACCTCTAAAGTGGCCTAACAGCAACTTTCATACTCAGAAGAAATGACCAGATGCGCCCCTGAGAATTTGTCCTTAATTTTCACTAAAAAGGATTTTTATCTCAAAACAGTAAGTATTCAAGATTCTGGAGCATATTTTTGGCAGCAAGTAAGTTTAAAAAAAAAAAAAAAAAAAACCCTTCAGACTCACCAGTCAAGCACGATAACCTGTGCCTTCACTAACAGAGAGGAGAGGGAGGAGGGTGGAGGTCTCTTGCATCCCACCCAACCCTACCCGATATCGGCCTGCTGATGTCAACAGGTGCCGGCACAGATTGGGGGGGGGGGCCTCCTCCCCATCGGGAAATTCAGAGAAATCGTCAGAAAGTGTTTTTATTGCAGTCTCACTGTGCATTCTGCTATTTCAGCATCACCCCACAGTCTCATCTCGAGGCCCCGACTGCTGCATTAATGACAATTAAGCCCCAGGGGAAATAATAACCTCACTGGGGGTTCACCGGAGCTGGAAAGGAAGGCAGAGCAAGTCAAGCTGCCCACGGGTTCCCCACCACCACCCCGAGAAACCCACACCTGGGGCGCCCCAGTCTGTGCTCCTAATGCTGCTTCCTCCGTTAGGGAAAGAAGATTCCAGGAGGCCTTCAGGCTAGTGGGCATTACGGCCCTCTTGGCACCTGCCCTTGCTTGGGGGAAAGGCAGCCTGGGAAGAAGGAAAGGGTGGTGAAGGGAGATATTGCAGACGAAGAAAACCTCGAAGAGACAGAACTTGACTTGGACTAGGCGTTTAGCTGAGCTTAGTGTGGTGAATATTTGGACAGTGTTACTACCTGGAGGTAATATATAATTGCTGCTTTCATAACTTTAAGAGTTATTCATCTCAGGAGTATAACATAGTTTGCACAGAAAAATGGGAACACAGCAAAATGTTAACAGAATAATAAGCAATTTGTATTTTGCCTCTAATCTATATTTTTCAAGAGTTCAACAGAAACAGGACATCAGGTTTACACTGGGAACCAAAGTTGTCAGGCAGGACGGTGCACACTGGTGATCCCAGAAACTCAGGAGGCCGAGACAGGAGGATCACAAGTTTGTTTTTTGTTTTGTTTTGTTTGTACCAAGGATGGTGCCCAATGGCATTTAGCCAGAGCCACATGCCCCGCCCTTTTTAAAAATATATATATTTTATTTAGAGACAGGGTCTTGCTAAGTTGCTTAGGGCCATGCTAAATTGCTGAGCCTGGCTTTGAACAATCCTCCTGCGTCAGCCTCCCTTACAGGCATGCTCCACCATGCCCAGCTAGGGTCACAAGTTTGAGGCCAGCCTCAGCAACTTGGTGAGACACTGTCTCAAAGTTAAAAATAAAAAGGCCTGAGTATGTAGCTCAGAAGTAGAGCATCCCTGGGTTCAATTCCCAGTACAGAAAAAAAAAAAAAAAAGAAAGAAAAAAGTTACTTAAGATTTCAAAAGAGAAGGAAGGAAATGTGGTTCTCACTTCCCCTACATGAGGAAATTGAGCCATGCAAATGTTAGCTGCAAGTCCCTAAAAAAGTCACTTAAGCATTTTGATTAAAAAATCATAAGGTGGCACAGAGGTGTAGATCAGGAAGAGTAGGTGCTTAATGCATGCAAGAATTAAGGTTCCATCCCCAGTACCAAAAACCATACCAAAAGTACAAGAAAAATGATGTTACTCACTGTTTTGTGATTTGGAAAGTCCTGTAAATAAGGGAAGACAGAAAGAACCCATCTCCCATTCATTCACTCAAAGATGGAAAGCTAAAACTTGTCTTGAGGGAAAGAAAACTAATGGAAGCCTTTCCCTAAGACTGTGGGTTCCAGGAGCCAGGGTGCCTGGTTACTCATCCCCAGAGTCAGGAAATACCCCACCATACACAATGCGAGGCCAGCATCTCCTAAAGCTGCCCATCTTTAATTCCCAAATAAAGACCTAGAGCGAAGGTCTCCTGCTCTCAGTAGGTCAGCTAGGAGCCCTCCGCCTTCCTGCCAAGACTTCCGAGCTGAGACTCCACCATGGAACTAGGACCAGCGGACACCTGGTAACCGCTGTGAAACGTCACCAGTAGATGTTAAACAGGTGCTTACTCAATAAAGTTTGTAAATGTTTACTTGTGACGTCTTCCAAGTCTTAACAAAGACAACAAAATCTGCAAATTCATTTAGAAATACAATAAATTCAAAGCCATCCCCAGGAGCAGAATGCCACTCCCCTGGGGCCTCCACTCCAACGGGGAGTATGATGAGCACGTGGAGAACTGCCCAAATGCTCCCTGGGGCAGCGACAAACTCAGGAGCATCATTAGATGTGCGGGCTGCAGAGGGGGAAATAAAACGGGGACAGCTGCCACAGGGGAGATGGAGAGTCCATCGGACCGCCATGGAGGACCAGAGGATGGAAGCCCCAGAGAGGCCCTTCCTCCCCGGGAGGAGGAGGAGCGAGGGGACCAGCAGCTGCTGCTGTCCAGACTCACAGGCAACTGATGGGGGTGCCGCCCAAGGGAGGGGCCCAGCACCAGCCAGCATCTCTCCCTGCCCTCCACCGCTTCCCACCTCCCTTCCCAGGACAGCAGGAAGAGCCTCCTGTTCTGGCTCACAAGGACACCCACGGTGGCAGGCCCACCCCTCGGGTCTGGGAGGACACATCACCTGGGGGGCAGTCATCAACTCCGGCACTGGAGGAAACGAAACAGTCCTGATCGCGTGTCCTCTTCTAGGACAAAGTTCTCTCCCACTAGTTACCTGTTCAGAACTCTGAGCTGCCGAGAGGCAGCTCGGTGGGTTACACGGCACATGTTTAAAAGGCAAACTTTTGCCAAGGACTGGGTGATTCTTGGCTGGATGAGCCACTGCTTATCTCATGTAGTGCAGAGCCGTGACAGCCTCTGACCGTCAGCCCCAGGCAGCGGCAGTCAAAGTTGTGAGGATGGAGAGCTACATTTCTCCTGCCGTGATCCCAAAATGCCACGCGGTGGCCCCCGAGCCTGTCATTATGTCATACTCTAATGCAGAAATTAGAGGTCTCCCAGGGCCCAGCCTGCAAGCGCAGAACCACAACAGATGAGGTAGGAAGTCTGAGGAACACTTCACCAGACTCCCGTTCCTAGGAACCCCTCTGGAGACATTTATTTCCATGTCTTTCACTGCGACTGATCGGGGGACATCTAGAAGCCACGTGCCAGGTACACCACACGTGTTAGCTGTTGAGAAGAAAAGAGGGGAAAAAATAGACTCTAAATAACATGAGGGATTCCGCCCTCAAGGAGCCTGCGGTCTCTCGGGGTGATGACCCCTGCAAGGCACAGATTTCCCCAGCACAGAACTCACTGTGGTGCCTTCTTCAGGTTTGGGCCATGTAGACCAAGAAAGGGCACCGTCACAGGCAGGGGAAGGGACACCAGGCTGTTAAATGGTCACAACTATGTGTGCTCACTGCTCCCACCTGGACCTGTCGCTGACACCGCTAGGAAGAATTTAGTCCCTGAGGGGTTTGGGGAGGAGTTTCCAGTCATTAACCCCCAGCTCTGTCCAGAGTCCCACAGTTGAAGTTCAGGACTGAGTTACATTTACTACTTTAATATTAAAAAAAAAAAAAATGGCAATCGAACCAGGCAAACTACTGGAAGCCTGAAACTGATCCGAAATCTATTCATTTTCTCCGAGTCAATGAATCTCTTCTCAGAATCCTGATGACGTACAAATGCTCCCAGGCATTCAGAGTCATACTGTCATACTTCCGACAGGCTCTGACCTGTGCTGCTGAATAGCTGCCTAATTACTAAGGATGATTCGACAAGTAAAAGGCTTTGTCTCTTTCCAGTGTAAAAGTCAAAGACGACCTAATGCACACCCCACACGCTTTACCACATGCCGCTGTAGGACCTTCCTGCACCCCAGCCGGCTGTGAGGAGGGACTGGAAGTCAAGGACATCAAGATGCAGGCCTGTCCTCATCCCTGACTCCTCTCTCCGGCGTCCTGCCTTCCACTCCTTGCAGGGAGAGGTAAATCGGAGAACCAGAGGCTTGTACTTCCCTTATTTACAAAGCCAGGGCTGCTGAGGAGTGTCCAAGATGCTTTATATGCAAAGGAAGGAAGAAGAGGAAAGCAAACACAGGCTTCGAGCCCCTTCACGTGAGTGTGAAGCACCCAGCACAGCAGGCAGGCTGTGCCCACCGAGGTGACCCACCTCCAGCCCCCTTCTCCCTGCCCACACTTTCCATAAAGTGTCAAACCTCTGTCAAGTACATTTACCTCCCACAGACATCCACATACGATTCTGGATGTAAATGTTTTACCCAAATGAATGACAGCCAAACAGCCAGAGAGAGACCGCTGAACACCTGCCTGCTCCAGAGAATTTCCCTCTCGAAAAAAATCCACGGCACCCATCTCAGCAAAGCAGTGTCCCTGTGCGCCTGGCAGCCGAGCAGTGAGAAGGGCTTGACTGGCATCCCAAGGTCTTCACAATGTACACCCCGCGAAACATGCCCACTGAGCCCAAAAGTCATCCGGAAAGTCATAGGACTCAAAAACCAAAATTCTGAGAACTTTTTTTTTTTTTAATTGCTGCTTTTAGATACTAAAAAGAAACTTCCTTTCTTAAAACCTGAACGAGTAAGAAGCAATATGAAAAAACAAAGCCAAGTCGGCAATCTGCAAGCATCCCAGGTAGTAAAAAGGATAACTCTGTCAGCACCTGGTGCATGCTAGATGCTGGGCACCAGGACAAGCCATATAACCCTGCACAGCCTGGACTTCCATTATTCTAGTTTTACAGATGAGGAAACCAAGGCACAAAGAGTTAAGGGATTTGCCCAAAATTTCAGATTCAAGCAGCTTATCTCCCCATTATGTAATCCTGCAGTACCATTTGAGAGTGTTTTATAAAACAAGTTATTTATACCCCACTGATGTCTAAAAAAAAACACTGCAAAAGACAAATAAGAAATTCCTGGGACTCAGATACTGACTGAGCACTACTAATCTGAAAATCTGAAATCCAAAATCTAAGACTTTGAGTGTCTACACGATGATGCCACAAGTGGAAGATTTCACACCTGACCTCACATGATGGTTCACAGCCAAAATCCAGAGCACAAGACAACTACCATTTAAAATGGCCTTCGAGGGCTGGGGTTGAGGCTCATTGGTAGAGTGCTTGCCTGGCATGTGTGAGGCACTGGGTTCAAGTCTCAACATCATATACGAATAAGTAGAATTTTAAAAAATAAGATAAAATAGCCTTCAAGCTGTGTGTGGAAGGTGCATATGAACCATAAATGCATTTCATATTCAGACTCAAATTCCATACAAGATCTCTCTTTACATATTTACAAATACAGAAAAAAACACCTGAAAGAGTCAAACCGAAACACTTCTGATCCCAAACACTTCAGATAAGCGACACTCAATCTGACCATGATAACTTACAATACGTAAAATTTTTAAATTTTATTTAGGCTAACTTCTTAAAAGATTGGCAAGGCTTTTTTCAATATACCAAACTATGAAAATGAAGATCTAACCTGCCATTTAAACAAATAAGGGAAACTCTGGTTTTCTTGAGGTTTTATTTCCCCCTGGAGATGGGGGCTTAGGCCGAGCATGGTGGTGCACTGCTGTAATCCCAGCACCTCTGGAGGCCGAGGCAGGAGGATGGCAAGTTCAAAGCCAGCCTCAGCAATTTAGCAAGGCCCTAAGCAACTTAGTGAGACCCTGTCTCAAAATAAAAAAATAAAAGGGGTTGGGGGTGTGGCTCAGGGGTTAAGCATCCCCTGAGTTCAATCCCTGATATATTAAAAAAAAAAAAAAAAGGAGAGAGAGAACAGGTCTTACTATGTTGCCCAGAATATTTGCCAACTCCTGGGTCCAATGACCCTCATGCCTCTGCCTCCCAAGTACCTGGGACAACAGGCATGTGCCATCTGCCAGGGTAGTCCATTTTTATGGGCGGTAAGGGGCATTCTTTAACCATTTATGATACACGTTGACCTGAAGGATCAAAAAAGTGCAGGAGGCTCAAAACTCTAGCAGATGATAGAATATTAGACATCAGAGCTGCCGAGGGCGTCCAACCACATTTCACAGTTCAGGGGTCACCTGTGGTAATGTTTCCATCAGTTCCCAGGAAAGGGGGAAATTGCTACGTTTTTCATAAGATTAAGAGTATCCAATGTTTAAATTCTGTATATCCTTCCTCCTGTTCTGATATTGAAGGTCCTTTATTTTATTAAATGAGGTATCAAGATACAGCGGTGTTCTTATTTTAGCTCACTTATTGGTCACATTGAAAAGAAGCTGAAAACTCTTTATCCAAGTATATATTCCCTCTATCCCCTAAATTCTCAAGTCTGGGAACCAATGAGCAAGGATAGCTAAAAAGTCACTTTAGGGAAAACTAGTTAAATAATAACCTAGCTAGAGAACTTAAAAAAAAAAAAAAAAGTCCCTTAGGATTCTAGTAGACCAGCAATTTTGGAAAATTTATTTCCACTGCATAATTCATTATGAAAACACAGACTAAACTGTCACCCTGAATAAAGGAACACTACTCAACCCAGGCCTGCCTCAAGGCTCCAGAAAACTGCAAGTGGCATGACCATGCTAAAGTTACCTGTTTGTACTGTAATTCTAGCTTCAAAAGCAGATGTTTAAAACTGAATAAGGCTGCTCAAATTCAACACCAGGATCTTGATAACTTCCCCTATCACCACACTCCTCCCTCCTTACTCAAAACACCACCCTTGACACAGTAATTGTGAGGATCCTTCTCAATGTGACAATGTAACCATGTAACCAGGAACCACCGAACCATTCCATTCAATTTGCACAGTGAACACACTTTAATTAACTATATAAATAGAAGCAGTTAAGGATAAATAGGAAAAACAAAAACAAAACCCTATTCCACTTAAAACCTTACAATTTAAAATTTTCCCACCAAAACTTCAAATTCAGCTAGATCTTTTTGCATATATCGTGTAGTTTGATAAGATAGGTGGTTACAAAAAGCATCAATTTTGAGCACTGTTTTAATAAACCCTGGAACTGAGTGTGTGTGTGTGTGTGTGTGTGTGTGCAGATT